GCATCCCAAACTGAAACTCAGAACACATTAACTCTAACTCCCTCCTGTTGCCCCTCCAGCCACTGGGAAGCACGGTTTTGATTTCTGCCTCTATGAATTTGATTACTTCACGTATCTACTGGAGTAGGTTCTCAAGAAGAATCTTAGAGTAGTTGGATTTTTGTCTTTGGCTGATTTTACTGACTATAACGTCTTCAATCAAAGCTCATCATGTTGCATCATGTGTTTGCATTTCCTTCGGTCGTATGGCCAAAAGACCACATTTTATCTATCTGGTCATTGTGGATAGACACTTGTGAAGCTAGCTACTGTGAATGTTACTATGAACATGGACAGCACTTATCTGAGATCCTACTTTTACTTTCTTTTGCTTGTTTTTCTTAAAATTCAAGGTTTTATTTTTACCTTTATTTTCAATTGTTAACAATCATGTATTACATAATAATGGGCAATATGGTATTTTCATAATCCATTTTTTGAAAAAATTAATGTACATGCACATACCAATTTCTTGGGTGGAGACCATGGGTTTGAGTCCCTCTTTGCTGTGGTGTCCTAGATCACTGGAGTTGAAAGAAATCAGGGGACAGCTCTCCAGACTGTCCCAAGGAGTGAGAAAGAGGCTCTGAAGGTGGCACCTTAGAGGGTGGCATGTCTTGTACCATTTCTGATTTGCTAGAGAGGAAAGCACAGTGCTCTTTCTTGGTCTCATCTTTGGGTGGTGCCCCACTAAGTTGCTCCTGTTAGCCTTCCAAACTGAAAAAAATGAGGCGGGAAGTTGAAGCAGAGAATGAGAAACTCTTGCTCATGTATCTTTCTGACACTTATCTTGCCCTCATTTTCTGTTTCCTGTTTGTCAGTGTTTCAAGTGAACACATCCCCTGTTGAGCATCAGAAACTTGCAGAACCCCATCCAATGGAGAAGCAGAGTTAGCCAGGATGAAAGATGATTACAGTGTTTACCGGGCATCTCCTCTGGGCCTAAGTGTGCATGTCTATATTACACATACTAAACTTAATCATCACATGTGGAGAGATACTCACCCTTTGACAGGTGAGGGAGCAGGTGTAGACAGGTTACATAACCCCTTTCAGGTCCCAGTCAGCTGTGGCTCTCAAATGAAGCTAACAGAGCCAGTGAAGTAGGATATGGATTAGATCTTATCATAAAATACTATGCCTCCCCTGACATTGTCCTGCCTTCCTACCTTTGTAGTGGAGCCAGGTTTAGAATATTTCAGCCTGAAAGTATTTTGGAGCCAGGGCAAAAGCAATGAAGCAATGAGTTTAAAGGAACTGTCTATCCTAAGTGTTTGCTTTTCATTCCTAATGATAACTTCTGCAAATATAATAAATATTCAATACACAAGAGCGATATTTGCATTACTAATTCAAAAATATTCATGATTAAAGATGAAATAACTAGTCTCTAATGTACCCTAGCAAGATTCATCTTAAAACCTGTGATTAAATGTCAGAAACTTAAATATCTGCAGGTCTTAACAACTAGATCCTCTGATCTTTCTGTATTTTAAAGAACTTAGGGCTCCAAGTTTTATAAGAGTGAATTTTTAAGAAATGCTCCACTTTAGGGTTTTTAACAATTGAACCATAACTGGGAGGCTGGACATGAGGAATTAAAGGGCTATAATACTTTCCCCTTATTCATTGTTTAGCTTCCTTGGCCTTTGTGGTGAGAAAATATGAAGTGGAAATTTCTAGAAATGAACATATATATGTTTTAATTTTTATACTATTCTGGTGCATGATGAAATGCTCACTGTCTGATTTCTTCCTACACACAGCAATGAACTTTCCCTTTGTCCCATGTATCCTTACTTTATGTATGGACTGCCTACACATTAGCCAGTAAGCAACCTTCTCAATTGAGGTATCAAAATACTAACATGTAGGATCTGTTACTGCTTCAGTTTTCAAGAATCCCCTGGGGTTCCTCGAGTGTATCCTGGGAAGATAAAGAGGGATTATTACAGTTCTTATTTATATCTTAGTAAGTGCTGCTATCAGCTCTTGGAAAAGCTGTTTTCACATATCTGTCGCATAAGAATAAGGGATATGCTCTACCACAATGTTTGTAGCCCATTTAGGTCTCCAAATCATCAAAGGCAGATTAAATCCTGTTGTGCATCCAGGTTCTCTTTATTAAATTCAAACTCCAAATGGACTATTCATGCACAGGTTGTGCATTAAACTCTGCATGTGATTAGAGGGTCCCCTTCTCTGGCTGTGCCAAACAACTGCTTGTTGAGCCCTGTAGCACTCAAAGAAGCCTTGCGCAGAATTCTGGGGGGAAACTGATTGCTCTCCTGACCATCTACCATTTCTAAATGGAGATTTGTATCCTTTTCCTTCAAGCTGCAGGTTCACTGGGAGAAAAAATCCAGAAATTTTAGGATGATGTCTCCAACCCATGCCAGTTGTTTCTTTGAGCAAAGAAAATAGTGCACTGTCATTTGGGTCATCATAAAAGTTATAAAAGCATATATTTTCTGGCTATATTGTACACAGACATCCTGTGCTCATGGTAAAGAACAACTGTGACTATGGGTTTTGAAAGAACAGAGGCATCTCCTTGGGTACAGTAGTAAAGGTGCTTAACTGGGTGGAGATGAGAAGTTGAGGGTCAGGTGTTATCCCTAAACAATAAATATGTGGGAACAATATATGTGTCTTCAGATCGGCCTTGACCTCCAAAAGGCTCAGTGACCCTCACTTAATTACTTGGTGAGCAAAGTGGTGGGAGAATATGAAGCCTCCTGCTGCGGTGGAGCACAGGAGGGGTCTGACTCCCACCCAGTTGCGCCCAGCTACTGTTTTGATATTAGCCCTTCACTCATCACTGACAGCCAGATGGAAGGACACAGGGGACAAGAACAATCCAGGAGGTGCCCTGACTGCACACCTGCCCCCTTCCCAGGCTTTGAAACAAACCTGCGTTGCCTACTTGGGGCTCAGCACATCACCTGGGCCCCACGAATGTTGTGGAACGAATAAATGAAGGAGTGAGAATGACGGAACCCAGAAAACAGTGGTTCCCTTTTTCTTCCTTCTCTTTTGCTTCTTTTCTCCAGTACCTTTTGACAGTTGATCAATTGGAACAAAGAAGGACAGGGAGATTCTATCCCCACTGACAAGAAACCCGGGTGCCACCCCCCACCCCCCAGGCTTTTAGGTGCTGTCACTCACGCAGTTCTTGGATTCTGCCCAGCTGAAGGTGGAGGAGCAAAGAGAGCCACACAAAATCCCAGGCTCTACGTTCTTTTACCCCATCTGTTCCCTTACGATGCCCTAGACCCTTCTCTTGCTCCTTCTCTACTCCACCACTCTCCTCACCCACACCGCAGAGCATCAACCCTTGCACTCCTTTCCAGCTCCAAAACACTCCAGCTTTTGTTTCCCTGCCACCCTGGGACAATCCTCCAAAGACTTCCCCATGCAGATGGGTTGAGGGTAAGACTACTTTCAAACCTCATGAAATAAGAGGCAAGAAATTTTTCAGATGCTCCATCAGGGTCACTTTTTAAAAGCTCTCAACATCAGATCTGACAATCTAGCAAAACGCTAATGGCATAGATATATAAGGAATCAAGCTGGGATACAGCCAAGCAGAAGCTGTTTTTCTACTGTAGGATAGATATTCTCCCCTATGCTCCTGACGCATATCTGGGTCACTGTCTTGTACTCTGGCCCCTCTGAGGGTGTTGTGGGAAGTGGGCAGAGGGAAGAATGCCAAGACAGCTGTGTGGCCACAGTTCCTGCAACAGCTCTTTTCTTTCTAAGGCTGTGATTTTTATGTCAGGCACTGGAAGGATAAGCAGCTGGAAAGAAATGCCTGGAGCTGTCTCTGCTCATGACTAGATATAAGAAACAATAACACTGCAGTGTATCAAACGGCAGTACATGCTGTCAGCTCAGCTAGCCCATTCACTCCATGTGGATGCTTACAGCAGTGTCAGTGGTGCACCAGCTCTGTGTTTAAGAGGTACTGTGGCAGAAGCATCCTTCAGCCCACTGCGTACCATTCAGCCTGCCTCTCCCTGCACAGCGTCTGGGCTTGGGGTGGTTAAGAAATTGGCCAGGGGGCTGGAGAGATGGCTCAGTGGTCTAAAGCACCTACTTGGAACAAGCTTGGCAAAGCACAGGGACCGCGGTTCGATCCCCCAGCACCACATGCCAGCCAGCCGCGCCCCCTGGTGGGCTGAGCTGCCCTCCCCCAACACACGATAAATAAATGTTAAAAAAAAAAAAAAAAAAGAAATTGGCCAGCTTCTTGAAGGATGCTAATTTTTCCTTGGATCTTTTTATTAGCAACATAGAGACAGAAAGTCTGTTTGAGAGATTTGTAGGGAGCATAAAGAAAGCTAACATGCTAGATGACAGAGTCAAAATTGAGAAAAATCTTGCTAGCCAAGAATAATGAACTAAAACCAAGGAAGCTAAATTTAATGAGGATATGGGCAAAAGTCCAACAATAATTTTATTTATTTAATTCACACATGCTCAGGATAAAGGAAATGGAATGATGAATACTTTATACAAAATATTGTGCTATCTATGGAGAAGGGTGGGTTTATCTTGGGAGGGGAGGAAAACGAAAAGAAAATTCCAGACATGCCAGTTATATAGGATGAACACACCAGAGAAGACCCAGTTAATTCCCTATACTAAGAGTAATTCATGCTTGATCCAAACACACTTAGAATCCTTATAGCTTCAAGTTGATTCTTCTAGCTCAACTCAAAAGCCAAACGTTAACACCAAGCCAAGCCAAGGCCTTGGCACTGGTTGCACGCGGAACCCACAGTTGATCAAACGTGACCAAAGAAAGAAATGTACTTATATGATATAAAAGTACGGTGACCTCTGCAAAGACATGACTTAAGGACCATCCCTCAAAGTGTATATGACTCTGGCAGATACGTGTACATGCATCCGCTTCTTGGGACAATATGTCACATGTGCAATTTGCTTTTTCATAGGTATGTGGAGCTGACCAACTACTGTGATTATAAAGACTACAGGGAAACTATATTGAGCAAACCAATGCTGTTCTTTATTAACGTACAGACCAAACAAGACACCTCAAAAGGTGGGTAAATAAATAATTTTACTTTGTTTATGCTTTGCTGGGCTGTAAACTAAGGCATGCTAGCGAAGTAAAAGTGAGACATGGAGAACGTAGGCTGGTTATCAGCTCAGGTCAAGGCAGCAGCACGGAGTTTGGTGTATGAGACCCTCTAGAACATAGCAGTCTTGCAGAACAAACCCCTAGTGGTCATAGGGCAGAAGGCACCTATATGAGATACGTTTTCCTGCTTCCTGTGTAGGCAAGAAGTGACCTGATGCTCTGATCCTTTGATGATTCCAAAAGTGCCGGGAGTGATAAGAATAATATATAATACACTTTGCCATATATGGAACAGTCACTGCCTGTGAAATGTTCTGATGTAATTAATTGGCACAACAGCCCTATCATGACCTTTGATCCAAGGGGAAATATTATTTTGAGCTTGAAAGTTATCATAGTCAATGCTTGTTCTGGAACAAAGATATAAATCAGGATCAACCCAGGTGACGAGGACACACTGGTATTCTATCTGTATGGTACGTAATCTATCCCCATTCTATTTTTATGCTTTATTTACTTATTCATTTGTTTGTTTATTTGGAACAGTGTCATCCTATACAGTTCAGGCTGGTCTTGAATTCACCAGGTAGCCCAGACTGACCTCACGACCTTGTGGTGATCCCCCCACCTCAGCCTTCTGAGTGCTGGGGTTACAGGTGTGTGCCTCTGCACCCAGCTATTCTCATTCTATAGATGAGAAAACTAAGATAAAAAATAGCAGTTGTAGATGCTTTATGTATCATGTTTCTATGTTGTAGGATTTCATGCTTATTTTTAGTTTTTAATTTTGGTTTATTAGTAGGTGTGTGTAATACATAGTTTTCACAATTCTTGTGGGAAGTTGGTACATGTGTGTAGTGCATCTTAATTCCTTTTGCATACCCTTTCTGTTCCTCCCCATCCCTTTCCTCCAACCCTTTGTCTCTTTCCTTTTTTATATATGTTTACATTACATATTTACATTCCTTGTACGGAGTTGGTCTATGCACGTAACACATTCCATTTTTTTTTTTCAGTTTTTAGGGGACCAAGATATGGACGAAGGGGGAAGGAAATTTTCATGTTTAGATACCTCTCTTTGCGTTTTTTCCAAGACATCCGAATAACTGGCACAACTCACATTCCAGTATGACAATGTCCTCATTTTCCCATCCTCCGCCTCCTCCTTATGTGGGGAAAGTCATGGGCATAACGTTTGTAATGAGGGCGAAATTTTTAAACTTCTAAATAGCATTCTTAAAATAAATCCAAGGTCATAAGAATGATCTACAAATTTCAAATAGACGTTCCGAGAACGGGCTGTCATTCGCGTTGGCGCAGCTCCCTCTGCTCATTTCATGGTTCAAAGTCGGTGTGTTCTCTGCAGGAGAGTCCCCAGAAGAACACACTGCTCCAAGCAGTGCTTGCTAGGCCAGCTGAGCCCACGTGTTCTTCAGACTGATGATGACCAGGAAGCCAGAATTCTCAGGAATGTCATTCACAGCCCTGTCAATCACGCTTCCTACACTGCCCTGGGAGAGGCTTCTGAGGCAACAGTAAAAGCCTTGTCCTTGTTAGTGCTTCAGTGAAAGTCCAGGGAGTAGCACAAAAAGACATGTGGCCTGTAGAGTGCTGAGGTGGGCAACTGCTGTGCCCTTGCACAACAGGTACCAAAAGTCATCGCTGGTTAATTTTAGAAAATTCTACAATAAAAGGCTTCTGAAATACAGAAACATAAGATGGCCAAATTAGGTGATGAGAATCATAATTAAGGCAACATGTCAGCCTTGATACTGTTTCAAACTGCATTTTTTATGCAAATATGAAAAACTTCCATTTCAAGACAGTTACTAATGCTTTCCAGGAGCTTATCATAATAAATATACACTTGGACTTGTTTGTAAATGTGGGCGGCATTCTCTAGAGCTGCGCAGTGACAACCTTCTCAGCCAGCACTACTGGGGACCGTAGTGACCTAAATATGTAACCAGCTGAAGGACGTGGTTTGTGTAAAATTTAATTCAATGTACCAAATAGTTTGTATACTTTATTTTACTTATCACTAGTCTCAAAGAAAATATCAGGTAGTTTATATCTCAAGAAAAAATAAGATGAGTAAGGCTAGTTCAAAATCCATTCTTTCGAAATACAAATATTTGTTGTCAGTGGCCCTCGGAGCTATCCCAAAGCCAAATCCAAGTGTTCAGTTGTCAAAGTCATGTAACGGTTGGTCAGTGCTTTTACACAGAGGGTGACCTGAGCATTTCCCTGTCTCCTTGAGGGAGGGCTTGACTCTAGGGACTGGAAAAGGTGGAGCTGAGAGTCAGAAATGTTTCAAATTTCCCAGTTCGTGAGCAACTTTCCCTTTGTTTAGATTATGCAGAACTGGATAAAATCATACTTAAAGGGACACAGCACAGCACAGCACAATACAACACTACCAACAACAGAAAAAAAAAGCCAGTGTCTTCCAGGACAGAGACATGGTAGCATTTAAACAGTGGGAAAGACAGTTTTTTCTGCCTTGGCAATGTGTTATGGTAGGAGCATGGAAGAAAATCAATCTCACATTTATTCTTTGATCCCCATGCTGTCCAAATTTGACAAGAGAATGTCAGGTCCCTAATGAAGCTGGGTAGTAGAGGGCGGTAGTGGAAGGCACAGGATAGCCCTTTTCATTAGACTGTGCTGATTTTCTGCTTTGTGAATAAGGAAATATGGTGCAAGACAAGCTGTGATTTAAATACCCAGGAAGGCAAGACCTGAAAACCAGCCATGTCAATTTTCCTCTTCCTTCTCCCATGCTGGATTCCTGCTGTGCAGTAGACGTCTTATCTGTGATGATTATAGAGTGGAACTTTTGATTTCTGAGATACAGGTGAAAAACTGTGGCCTTGAGGGAGCCGATTGGCTAACCTGCTTTTACAGTAGCCCAGGGTTGCCTTCAAACCTGCGAAATTCTTGAGAATGTTTCTAGAAATTTCCTTAGATTTTGCAGTAAGGGCTTGAGGGAGCTAAAAGGAGGCTTATAAATGAGTACACTCTCCAACAATTTACTCCAAAGATTACTGCTTTAGCAAATCTTGGGTGGAGTGTTTATGTCACGTGTACACACTTCTTTCTGAATTCTGTTTGCTAATTTCTAGAAAAGACATATGCATTTCTTGTGAACACAAGGCACCCAAAGATAAGAAGACAGATAGAGCAGGGAATGGACATGGTCATCTCCTCAGTGATTGGAGAAAGTTACCGACTTCAGGTAAGCCTATCCCCAGGGCTGGATCCAAGCTGCCTCCCACATGCAAAGACTGTGTCCCTGCAGCCTGTGCTTCATGGTGGTAGGCCCCTACCATGTCACACATATGCCTGGAACTGCACATGGTACCAAACCCTATATGTATGTGCAATGTTTTTTTTTCCTCTATATACCTATCTATGACAGAGATTTTTAAATTCATTAGGCTCAGTGAGAGATGAACAATAACTAACAATAAAATGGAACAAGTAAAAGTTATTTGAAGCTTATAAATTTTTTCTTTCTGCAGTTGTCAAACCATAGGGAATGGAAACTGCAGAAAACACCACCATGGATAGAGGAGAATTGTTTTATATTCAGACATTTCCTTCTTTATTGTGTCATAGCTATGGACAGTAAGTGGGCTTAGTTTCTAGTAATGTTTAGGAATGAGGTTCAAATAGGTGTGATTTTGGTCAACCAGATCAAAGTTTTAAAAGCAATAAAATATAAAGGTAAGGATCTGATTTTTAAATATAGAGATCAGAGTTTCTAAAAAGTAAAAGAGAAATAAATGGTATAATGTCTTGGATATTTGTTAATTCTATAAGGCCAATATAGTAGTTCTGTTCACAAATTCAATTAAGTGTTTCTTTGTCTTTCAGTTTGATTTTCAAGATGTAGTGAAGAATTTCTTCCCTCCAGGAACTGAAGTGATTAACGCAGAAAATCTGAGCTTTGTGTACGAATTCAAAGCTGATGCCTTATTTGATTTTTTCTATTGGTTTGGGCTCAGCAATTCCACTGTGAAAGTGAATGGAAAAGTTCTGAATTTGTCAAGTACAAGTCCAGAAAAGAAAGAGACAATTAAGTTATTTCTGGAAAAAATGAGTGAACCTTTTATCCGAAGGAGCAGTTTCTCTGATCGAAAATTCAGTGTAACTTCCAGAGGTGTGTGAAAAATTCTCAAGGACTTGTGATAGTTTAATCAGGTGTAATAATATAATGTGGGGAGGCAATCAATTGAGAAACCAAGAGGCAAGATCAGATGATAAAAGAGAAACATATCACATAATTCAGAAAGAACTGAGAAGTGTTCATTACCATAAAGAGAAACCAGGTACCTTGGTGCATGAGTTGGAAGATGACCTGTGACCAGTTCAAGACCAGCAGCTTGGGCAATATAATATGATACTGTGTTTGAGAGAAAGACAGAGAGAGAGAGAGAGAGAGAGAGAGAGAGAGAGAGAGAGAGCGAGAGAACAGAGAAATAAGACATAGACTAGACAGAGAGACAGACACAGAGAAGCACTTTTCTTCTTAGGTCCTTTTAAGTTTCTGACATAGCAATTATGTTGTGCAGCATATTCAGAAACTAATCTTAAGGATTTTTAATTTCAATGAATATTGATGCTCATTTAAATATTATGAAATAGTGCTGCCTTCCCTATGTGCATAGTTTGGATAGCAGAATGTTCACTACAGCTGTCAGTTGGGGAAGACGTCTACATGGTCGTGATACCTATCTTTAACAATTTGTGGAAGGGTTCTCCAGATTTTGTAAGACTACAAAAGAGACACACTTGAGAAGGTGTCATTTAGCAAACTGTAGCTGACATATGGCAGGTTCTCAATTTTGATATCCATGTGGTTCAAGCAGATGGCACGGATCGTGTCTTGTCTGGATGTGTCTTTTGTGGAGTCCATTCTATGTCTCAGCCTGTCTGGGGCAGAGAGCAGCTTCCTTGAATTGGGAATCCCGCAGAAAACCACCAGTCTCCACGAACCTGCAGTGTTCTTAATGTGCGGATGGAAACTGCAGTCTTCCTTATTTGTATTTAGTGACAGCTGTTTTCTTGCAATGTTTGTTGCAGAAATGCTTACTCTCAGCTGTTTCTTCTAGACATGGTCTCTCCCTTTCCTCTCCCTTTCTTCCTCCCTCCATCCCCTTTTCTGTCAATGTCCCTCCGTCTGTCTTTGAATCTCTCGGTTTCTCTCCATCTAGTCCATCCCTGTCATCTCTCTCAGCCTGCACCTCATGTCTGTCTGTCTGTCTGTCTGTTGGCCTCTCTCCATATTGCATTAGTTTCCTCTGTCTGGGAGTTTCTCACAGAGATGTGGCTGTGCTTGCTTCCCTGCAGCTACTGGGGGAGACTATACTCAGCTTCTTCCAGGGAAGACAACTTGCCCTGTTGTGGCAGTGTGACACTTACCTGGCCCCGTTATGGCATCCGAAGCCTGCCACTGGCCACAAAAGCCTGGGAAGTTTTCCTGGTTCACTGCAGCTGTCTCCCTGTCCTGTAACCTGTCTAAGCTGTCTATAGCTATCTTGGGCACATCAGAAGTTGACAGGGCTTCCCTGGGAGTTTATTTGAACCCTAGGATCCCTTCAGCTCTAGATAGTGGGACAGGCAGGGCCCTTCCTGAAAGCTGCCACATGCACTGCAGATGGCAGAACCAAGAGGGACTTGCTGTGCTGGCAGGCAGGTCCAGCCCCAGGCTGAGCACAGGGCCACCAGCTCCATCCCCTTCAAAACCTGTCCTTTGTGCTGAGCATCTATTCCCTAGATGTGTGCCTTTTGCCATTAAGTGAGAAAGAAGGTATGCGGCGCAGGGCGAATTTCCAACTTGCAGAGAAGCAAAGTGACAGTCCTGTCCCACTGATAAGTAAACAGCCACACACTTCAGTTTTGCCTTTTGAGTTTCTCTGTGGAGGTCAGGATTCTCCATTAATTATTGAATGGATTATGTTGTATGAGTTTCAAAAGCACTATCTTTGCTTCTTTTCTGTTTCATTTTGGCAGTGTTGGTAATAATGTGTCTTACTGTTTTTCAGGTTCAATAGATGATGTTTTTAACTGCAATCTGTCACCCAGATCATCTCTGACAGAACCTCTTTTGTCAGAATTGCCATTTCCAAGTGTTCTGGAATCTGAAGAAATACCCAACCAACTTATCTGACTGGATTGAACATTCTCGGTGTTACTCCTCTACCCCAGAGAGGAGGGGGGACGTGGGCACTTTCACCCCCTTGCTCCCCCAGCTCCCCCATGCCTTCTACAGAGGGCTCCTTTCTTCACTCCTTTGGCATCAAGCTCTGGCAGGCCCAGTGCAGCTGGCTTCTTTCAATGTTACAGTTACAGTGTGGAAGAGCTTTGGCCCCGTGGTGCAGGGTCGAGGCATGCAGGTCCTGGGATGTGTGGGACACCCTTGATAATGCCCAAATCCAGGAAGCATGGGGTTCCCAGGGCTCTAGTCCTCAAAGCCACTAAGTAGAAAGCCTGCACCAGTATTCAGGAGGACCCATGTGTGCGTTCTGTGCTGCCTCTTTGGAATCTTCTGAGACACTTCAGGGTTAAGTTTGCTGGGGGCCTGGCCCGGTGGCTAGGATGGTGATCTGCCACTCCTTGCCTGAAATGTGAAATGCTTCGGCCCACCTCTTAGCACGTGGCTGTGCAGAATGAGGTCAGGAGATGTAGTATATGGCAGCATCGTCCTTCCTCAAAGCACATTGTGTCAGTTGGGCATTTAAAATAAGCTGTCAGCCATCTTAACATGAAAAGAAAAATAGAAGAAAGCTATATAGTATCATAATACATTGTTACATCCATACATTTTTCATCTCAGCTGCAAAGGAATTCTTCAAAAGAAAAAAGTCTATTACCATATAAAAACTTGCATGAATGAATAACTATATATGCTTATAATAAATTTATGGCTCCTGAGTATCATTTTTATATCCTTTTAAAAAAGTGTTCCCATATTATACATTTTGATAACACTACTGATGGTACTGCTGTGTATATTTGAAAATTTGTGTAGTACATTTGCACAATTAAATTTTCTTGGCATTCAACCCAGAATTGATTAAATTTGTAACTCTGGTGTATGTGATTACTTATTTATGGTTTACTAGTATATAGCTTTATAACTTAATAATTATAATAAGATTGTGGTTTTCATAGGTACCTCCTTAAGCAGAACCTTTTGAACAATAGAGCCATGAAGTATTTGAAAAAAGGGGTTCTGATCTTCAAAAAAGCAAGGAAAATGTTATCTTATAACAAAACAGGCTAAGTATTAGCTATTAAACTCAGTAGAAAATAAATAGAACAACAAAGTAAACTTTACACCAGTACAAACAAATCTTTGGATATCAAATATCGTATACTTTCCAAAAGAAATGGAGACCTTATTTCAAAATTGACAAAGAAGATTTACAAAGCTAAATTGAGTAATCAAATTGAGTAACCATTAACTATTGCTCTGGAGATCGACTAAAGATATGAGAGGTGTCTTGTACCATTAAAAACACTTTTTAGTTGACTGAATGAAATGCATTATTATTCA